ATTCTCAAAAAGAGCCAAAATTCACTTACCCCACCCTCACCCCTGTGATTGAACCATTTTAATCAGGATAATTTTTATTTACAAACAACAAAAGTTGTTTATTTACAAACAACAAAAGCATGGTTGTATGGATCTAGTCAGGCTTTTATTTATTTATTTTCTTGACAGAGAGTCTCGTTCTTTCGCCCAGACTGGAGTGCAATGGCACAACAATCTCTGCTCACTGCAATCTCAGTCTCCCGGGTTCAAGCAATTATCCTGTCTCAGCCTCCCAAGTAGCAACTGGGACTACGGGCATGTGCCACCATACCCGTCTAATATTTCTATTTTTAGTAGAGACGGGTTTCGCCATGTTGGCCAGGCTGGTCTCAAACTCCTGAACTCGGGTGATCCGCCCACCTCGGCCTCCCAAAGTGCTGGAATTACAGGCCTGAGCCCCCGCGCCCAGTCATGTCAGGTTTTTAATTTCATTCTGTATTCTTTAAATTCTACATTAACAAAATATAATGCTTCATAGTTTGCTAAAACAATGTGTTTTTACAAGACAAACTTTCTATAGTTTCACTTCTTTTTTTTTTTTTTTGTTGAGACAGAGTCTCATTCTGTTGCCCAGGCTGGAGTACAGTGGCAGGATCTAGGCTCATTGCAAGCGCCGCCTCGCGGGTTCACGCCATTCTCCTGCCTCAGCCTCCTGAGTAGCTGGGACTACAGGCGCCCACCGCCAAGCCTGGCTAATTTTTTTTTTTTTTAGTAGAGACAGGGTTTCACCGTGTTAGCCAGGATGGTCTCGATCTCCTGACCTCGTGATTTGCCCGCCTCAGCCTCCCAAAGTGCTGGGATTACCGGCGTCAGCCATGGCGCCCGGCCTACAGTTCCACTTCTTAGAAGACTGTATGGTATAAAAATAATGTACAAGAGTTTGGGTCGTAACAATTTACTTTTCTATGTCTCTAATTTTCTGTTTCTCTATATCTTTTGAGAGAGGGTCTTGCTCTGTGGCTCAGGCTGGAGTGCAATGAGTAATCACGGCTCACTGCAGTCTCAACCTCCTAGGCTCAAGTGATCCTCCTGCCTCAGCCTCCCCAGAAGCTGCAGGCGTGTGCCACCACATCTGGTTAATTTTTAATTTTTTGTAGAGACAGGTTTGGGGAGGGGGTCCTTACCATGTTGACCAGGCTGGTCTCGAATTCCTGGGCTCAAATAATCCTCCTGCATAGGCCTCTCAATGTTAGGATTACAGGCATGAGCCAGGGCGCCTGGACAACTTCCCAGATATAGTAACCTGCTGAACCACCTTAGGGTGCGTTTCAGCCTTAGAGGTCTCTTCTCTGCTAGTTATAAAGCAAGATCCAGGGGATCATTCTAGGTTTATCAAAAATCTCTCTTCCCTAGACAATGACGGGATAGAGGAAGAAAAAGCAGGCCCTTTGATTAGAGACACATTTTAATGCTGGCTTTAAATTCTCAGTCACGTGTTTTAAGCAAGATTTGAAATTCCTTCCGAAGAGTCTTGCTCCAGAGAGCGCCCTAAACCAAAATAGGAAACTGAGGCTAAGGTTCCAAATACCTTCAAACCGCCGGTACAGTACAAGGGCACGGAAGAGCGGAGACCGCGGACAAGGAAAGCCAGCATAAAAGCTGGAGGGGAGAAAGGAGAAGGGCGAGCGGGCCATGAGTGAGGAATTCAGGCAACCTAGCAGGGATTTAAGAGCAGCCTGCCGAGTCCGTGGGGGCTACGCCACAGTTCAGCCCCTTCCCCTCCCTCAGTTCGAGTCTTCCCGCCCCTGCCGGTCAGCCTCAGGACCCCAGCGGCGCCCAGACCCGCCTTCCCCACAGACCCTGCCACCTGTCAGTTTGAAAGGCCGCGGCCAGGGACAAAGAGATGGTCCAGTGGCTCAGAGGTCCCCAATGGGCCAAAGTTGCCCTAAAACCCGGGGGAGTGGCCTCGGCCTCCGCCCCCCGGCCCGGCCTTGCCAGGCTTTACCTTGAGTGCCAGGTGATGGACGCGGCCCAGGCCAGGCTCGGCCAGCAACTGCAGCAAAGCCAGCATCGGGAGCAGCCGGAGGCCGGCGGCCAGCCTAGCACGGCGGGAGGCGGAGGAGCCGACGGGCGCCAGAGCGGCCATGTTTGTTCCAGCATCACCAGCCGCTTCCTCTCCTGCCCACTTCCGGGATTAAAGGGCGCAACCGCCGGAAGGGCCCGGGGAGCGCAGCTTGGCGGCTAGCTCGGCTGAGCCTGTGGTGGTTTTCCTGGAGATTGCAACCTGGGAAGTCGCCGAGGGGCCTATGCTGACCACCTCGGGGCCCTTCGATTGGCTCCCCCGTGCAGACTTTCAGTTTAGCCCAAAGAGATGAAGCCAACCGCTTGGCGGTTGCCATAACAACGGTGGCCGAACCAGACCAGCCCGGGCCTCACCTCCGCCTCGCAGAGCCTTGGAAGCGACCTTGGGCTCGGGACCCCTGACCTCAGGGTCGGAGGATAGGGTGTGTCAGCCGCACGGTGTCTGGCCACTGATTGAACTGATTTCACTGACTGAACTGATTTCACTGAGCGTTAACTTGGAGCGAAATATCTAAAAATTCCTGGCTCGCCGTAGGGGTCCTGTGGTTTTTTTTAATAAGCGCTTCATACTCAAGTATCAGGTGAAATGGTTGCAATAATACGATTTATTGAGCCCTTATGAGGAAATTCGTTAGGCCTTTTGTTGTATTTAATTTTTGGAACAATCTGATGAGCTAGGAGGTAGGTATTATCATTATTCCTACTTTACAGGTAAGCAAACTGAGGCTCTGAGAAATAAGTCATTTGCTCCAGGTTGAGCTGGGAATCACGCGGAAGCTCTTAACTCCTGTGTTCTGTTGCCTCATGCTATTTCATCCAACCCTGAGTCTGGGTCTTAACATTTTTCTCTTAATTCTGTATGGAAACTTTCTTTGCTTTTAGAACTTATGGGAACTTCTTTTTTTTGAGACGGAGTCTAGCTCTTGTCACCCAGGCTGGAGTGCAACGCCACAATCTCAGCTCACTGCAATCTCCACCTTCCGGGTTCAAGTGATTCTCCTGCCT